GGTTGGATCCGCAGTGAAATGTATTCACTGTGCGTGTTCGTGGCACTGGTTTTACTTGGCACAGAAAGTGATAGCTCACTTTTAATATAGAGTAGAGAGTTAGAGAGTGGAGAATTCTTGAGGCAGACTGTAAAAACGCAGCAGCACAATGGACAATGAGCCTGGCTGTGGTTTGGACTATGGGGAGATCGCGGGGAGCCTGATGGAAACCTCGCAGGGCTGCCGTGAGCACGCGAGGTCAGGACATATGCTGACATGGACTTCTGGGGCCGAGCCAGAGCTGGAGCAGAGAGGAAACGGAGCCCTCACGTCTGCTCAGCAGTGCTCCGCTGCTCCTCTTGTTTGTCTCTGGCTTAATATTAAATGTTATTCTTGTCCGAGATAAAAAAGCAAGGCCGTCAAGACTTCTTATATGGATGTATCTCGTTTGTATTTAACAGAACACAACGTCCAACATCTGGCAGGTTGAGAGGTTCGAGTGGTTTGGAATATCTAATAAAAGAACAAGACTTTTATGTTCTGCTAAAAGCCCTGAAGTACTTGGGATATGACTACATACTACTCATTTTGAGCCTTTACCAGATCAATTTAGGGTCAGCTTTTCACACTTTAAGTAAAAAAAAGTTAATTTGATGGCTAAAAATCTAACTAAAACTTGACTTTTGCCAAATAAACTACCTATTTGCTCGTTAGATAACAACTACCTGAATGTTTTATACTTCGCTCTTAACTAAAACAGAGAAGATATAAGATTGGATAAGACTCAGCTTAACAAATCCATGTATTTTACCAACTTGAAATTGGATCCAAGCTTGAGAGCAGCTATAAGAAGCTAACCCTGCTCTTTTGCAACTATTTGTTGATTCTGACTACCCACTCAGCTTCCCCCTAACCAAACAACCGCACAACTGACATCCTGAGCATCCCATTCATTCAAGTTTCCATTTTCAATCACGTATTGAATTTCACTTATGTCTGATGAGAGCACCAGGTCTTTTGTTTGGCCTTTTTGTGATGTGCTGGCAAAGCCCCCCTTTCACAGCCAGGCTGTCAGGAGGAGCACGCTGTCCTTAAAAAAGAGACAGGGCAACAACAGGGCAACATCTGATTAGCATTCACAGCACTATCTTCACTCCCTTGGTATTTTATTACCACAGGTGCAGGGGCATTCATTGATCAGATGCACGCTACAGGCGAGGTTAGCCCTTAATTGAAAACAGCTCTATTTATACACCTGCAGGCACTAAAGGTCTCCAAGAGAGCACAGGGAGGTTGAAAAGAAGAGAAAGGAAGGGAAAAAAACAGAGCAGTGACGGAACAGAGAAAAAAAAAAGACATGCCTTGGGAGACATAGGTTAAGGCCTACAGGGAAGGCAAAAGACATTCCCAAAACAGCATGGCTACCCAGTGCCATGAGAGGATAAGTGTGCAGGTGCAGAAGCCTTAAGAGAAACAAAGAATACCATTTGTTAAATGTCGGAACAAATAAATGCAAATCCAAAGGCACGGTTCTTAAGCATAAACATCTTTGCTCACCGAAGAACAACTACATTTAGTCCGTTTACAGTACAGCTGCCAGCTTTTGCGGCCGCACTCATTTCTTCACGACACTGTGCTGATTGTGCTTCGGCAACTTTGCAGGTGGTACATTGCATTCTGGGGCTTGTGTTTTCACAGTGTGACAATAACAGGGGGTCAGGGGGTCAGTCTGGTGGAAGTCCAATCAGAAAACCACAGAGGAAAGAGCAATCTGCATTTAGACAGAGAGGGGGACACGGCTCAAGCTTGCCACTTTTGATGGAAAAAACCTGCGAAAGCTGCGCGTTTTTTTTCTGTCTTGTCAAGGTCTTTTGCAAGATGTCAAATTTCCAAGTGTGGGAAAGCAATGAAAGCTGTTAATTTGTTCAAAACTCATGAAGGAAAAAAAAAAAGATGTCTGCTTATAGTCGCCTACAGGTTGTTGGCACGGAGGCAATAATCCAAACAGCAGGTGAAATGTACTAAAATTCTTTACCCACACTTCACTCTCAGGTCACATAATGATGTGAGAAAATCTCAAAGAGCGCAGATGTATTGGATGATTATTTAAAGGTTAGATTTAATGTGAAAATTGTACATTCATTTACTATAAGCTGTCATTTACCTAGAACAGGATCACATTCGATATTAAGTCTTTTCCTTTTGAAATAACATAACCCCGCTGGTTAATTACCTTGGAGAGGGTTCAAAAACCACTTGCTGCGGTCGGGCCAGCTCAGAACAACAGACTGTAAAACTGCTGCGAGTCATGTCTCTCCCAGCACTGTCCGATTATTAACAGAGCATTTTCGTCCGTCTACTGTAAAGCTCTGATGAAAAACAAGGTTCTCTATAATTGATAATGGCAAAAAAAATTACATAGTACAGCGAGACAGGAGGGCTATTTTGAGACTATTTTGTATTTGATCCAGATATTTCATTTATTCTCTCCAAATTCCTCAAACAGGTTTTAGTATTCAAAGCAAAGATCAGTCATGACCCGGGCAGATGGAAAGCACAAAATATCTCTTCTCATTGTTTCAAAGTGATGTTTCTTTTGTACATGGTTCCTGTCAAATTCAGTATTAAAAGGCCAAAGGGACACAGCTCTGCTCCCTTATTACACTTGTGGTGCTGACACTTATTAAACACATGTGCCTGGTTAATACAACGTTACATTGGTTTTGCACTCAATAGAAGTCCCAGTGTGGCTTCGTAATGGTTGTGGCAAAACTTTAAAGGAATTCTCCATTAAAAAAAACTTTTTTTTTTTTTACAAAATATTCACCCCTTGTACGCTTGAAAGGTGGCTCCGAGAGTAGAACTGAAATTGGTGAATCGATAATTGAATTCACTTTTCAAGTAAACCTATTAACTTCTCCCTCCTTTCAACCCTACATGGGCTGAGTATTTGAAATCCAAACGATAGATTTTCCATGGAGTTTTCCTTTAAACGCAATCTGAATGGATGTTGCTAATGTGGAGTTTCTGATCCTGCCTTCCAAACATAGTCAGGACTCTTACAAACACATTTGAGGATCCCAGCCTTTGAAGCAGTCTCTACATGGATGTAGATCTTGGAGACGGAACAAACTACTGTGTATATAACATCCCAATGTTCCCGTACAACATTTCCCTGGATCCTGTTGGGACAAGATGAAAGGCTTTGTGGCCTAATATCGCTGTAACTGCAGGTGTGGAGGCTCCCATTTCACCAGTGTCACTGATGTTCACAGACATTTGGACGGGGGCGGGGGGGGGGACAACAGCGAGACATCTGCACGTTTGGATAAGCATCTGAGGGTTCAATCAAATTCAACACCTAGCAGGTAAATGTTTGGATACCTCCAAAACCCTGTGTGTGTGTGTGTGTGTGTGTGTGTGTGTGTGTGTGTGTGTGTGTGTGTGTGTGTGTGTGTGTGTGTGTGGTGAATGGTCTTATTTGGAGTCTGTTCTGGCTTGTCATCAAAGGCGATACCACAACCACATGGCTTTATCAAGAATGAGAACAATATCTGTGTGATCACTTTCCTCAGGAGGGGCAGTTTATAGAAGACTCCAGTTGGTAGTTTTGTCATCCAGCTTGTTTATGTTAACCATTTTTATTTTAATTTAGACAGATGGGCAGCCCTTGTTCAAATAAAAGCCTTGTTCGTGTAGGACATGGACTTGATGAATTACTCCCATTTATCCTCTCTTTTGTAAAATGCAATCATAAAGGATTATATAAGCTGCTCAAGCCGCTACCGCACCGGATACAACTATAAAAGATTCCCATTTTTACGACCTGTCATGCTTTGATTAGCAGAGCAGAACTTCAGCCAAAAATGCATTTCACATTTTTCCCTAGGTACTTCTGCTGGCGTTTGCTGCAGGGAGACAGACATCCCATCTCAAAAACACAGGAAGAAAGAAAAAGATTTTACGAACTATATTGTACATGTTAAGAAATGTAGCTGAAACTTCCATTTAGCAACATTCATTGAGCTGGTTCACTGTTGGTTAGGATCACAAGGGTTCTGATGGTCAAATAGGCGTTTTAGTCTTTTTCTTAAGCAAAAATACGAAATGTTTTGGGGTTCCAGCTTCGCAAATTTGAGAATTTTGTGTTTTCTTTGTCATATATAAATACATTGAACACATTTAGGCTTTGGTCTGTTGGCCGGACATTTTTGAAGGCATCACAGTGGGCTCTAACAAAGTGTGAAAGGCATTTTCTCACTATTTACAACATTTACAACATTTTGCATTTTGTGTGTGTGTGTGTGTGTTCAGTCACATGTCACATTCAAACTAACATCAGTACAGCATCAAAACACGCATCCTCCTCATTCACCTTAATGAGACGACTGCACCGGCCCGGGGCGACGACCCTGACACTGACGGGCCCTGTCAACAAAAACACGGCGCTGTACGACAAAACTGTTGAACCTGGCTCAACTATTCCTGCGCTGGCCAATCAAACACACGCAAATGCACAATCCTGGTAGAATACCTGATAACAGTAATGGCATACTTTACAGCTTACAACTACTTACCCCACAAACAAGGGATAACACAGCCACACCGATTATACCGATTGAGAAAAAATACAGCTTTTTATGGCCTTTCGTGCAATGTCAGTACACAGTCCTATTTATTGTGCAATAACCCAATACTTAAAGGGTCAGTGTGTAGGATTTAGTGGCATCTAGCAGTGAGCAGATTCTAGGAAGAAAACTAAGGATCACGTCAATACAACAGAACACTAACATAAAGGCAGAGGGCCGGAGAGTAACTTCTCTTCTCCTAGGCCACATTGACTGATTAATTCCAAAATCCACTGACCGCATTAAGACTCTAAAACAGCTAGATTTTCAGAACATAACACAGCCTGCTGAGATTCTAGCATCTGACTGGTGGTTGGTGTGAATTTGTCTCCCGTGTTAGTCATACAGACGACATCTCAGTGAGCATGGTGGGTTGGTGAGAACTGGACTCACATTGGCCGGCTCCTGTTGTAGAAAGTGTTGCTCCTCGCAGCCTCTGCAGCCTGTGCAGCTGCTTTCTTCTCCTCAAATTCCTCCCTGCTCAGAACTGTGCCCTTGTGGCCGTGCTCCACCAGCGTACGGGCCAACTCCCTGCTCTGCGAGAGAAAAGAAAAGGAGAGGAGTCAGTCAAGGCGAGGGGACACGGCCTGCAGGCAGGGCTGAAGATTGTCAGATGTTGTCAGTCTTGAGTTTTGGCATGGTAAACTTTGAATGCTGGGATTTATTTTTTCACTGCTCCTTTTGGATAGCACTTCAGGAGTGCAGCTAGTATTTTTATTATAGTTAAATGTCAGAAAGTAGTGAAAAATGCCTATCTCAATTTCCCTGAGCTCAAGGTGACGTTCTTTTTCTTGTTCTGTCTGCCAAACAGTCCAAAAACCTAAAGATATTCAACTTACAATGATATAAAACAGAGGATAGCAGCATATGCTCTCATTTTAGAAGCTGGAACCAGAAAATATTTGGCATTTTTGCTTGACAAATGATTCAAACTATTACTTTTTCAATCCAGATGAATCAGTGGCTATTTTAGACAAAGGATATATCCAGTTTCTGCAGCATCCTGGATTTGGTTCCAGCTCAGCACTGACCTCTGAGCACTGACTGAAATGAAATTTGAAATTTTGTCAGCCAGGATTTAGGATTTAGTTATTCCTCTGGCCTTAAGTTGAAAATTGTTAATTCACTCCCTTCCCAAAAATATGATGTGATAGCCGGCTCTGCAACGCCACAAGCTTCAGATATAGTTCAGCTTTGTGGCTTTCTTGTGATTTTTCATCATTCATCAAGTGTATGTGTGTGTGCCTGCGCGAGTGTACGTGTCAGTGCCCCTGCAGGGATTGTTAGCTACATTACTCCAATCACCGTTTGCAGAGCCGCCATCATTAAAGCCAAGCCATAAAGTCATCATCTAAAAACCAAATCTTGCTGTCAAATCCTGTGGGTTGTCAGATCAAAGCTTCGGCCACATGTCCTCCTACCCGAAGCAGCCGGGCCTGCGTCCACACCCGAGAGGAAAAGTTATATTTCCCTTCAACTTTGATGTGGCTCACCAGAAATGAGTCTCAGACATTTGCCAGTCCTAAAATTGGCCTGAAAATCATTGTCTTCATTTTCAAGGCTCATTGAATAAGTCTATGTGAATGAACTGCTTCTTTTGGTCCCCTCACCGGGACTTGGACTAATACTCTACAACATCTATCCTGTCAAAAGCCGTACTGACTTTGTGAGAAAACATCTTTAACTACTTCACTTTACTCAGTTTATAGTCATAGTTTGTGACACGTTCTAACTAACATCTTCCAGGAGAAATAGGTTCATAATTAGCTGATTTTTCAGAACTTAGAGGTTATCAGCATGACTGCACAGGTTAGATGACCTGTGCTGACGGTGTTGTGTCACAACACAGGGGTGATTGAGTTTGATAGTGATTGACTGCAGCTGATTATCAGGCCAGATATGAGTTGTTCTCTTCTCTGTGTGGACACAGGTGTTCAAACAAAGTGGTCACTGCAGCGGCTATGGATATCATTAGCGAGTGTGCCACCTGCTGGGCAAAGACAAGACTGCCAATTTCTGGTTAGCAGGTTCAGTTCAAGTCTATTTGGAATCATTTGTATAGCCGCTAGAATAAATCTACGAGCAAAAACCTGAAGAGAGGAATGAAAGAAAATATGATTCAGAGTTCCTCTGTTGACAATACGCTTTTAAATTTACAGCCTGGAAAAAACATATATAGATAGATATAAATATAAATAAGGTCTCTGGTCATGATGAATACATTTCAGGTACAACAGCATTTGCAAAAGTGATAATTAAGACTTCTAAATCCTTAAAACTAGACAATTTAAATAATTTTAATGCTTTTTCAGGACACATAGTCTCAATGTCTTAGCATAAATGGTCATACCAGAGTAACTGTGGTTACGATATAAGACCATATTGACAAAGTGGGTCTAATCAGAACTTGTGGTGCACCCTAAAGAGTATCACTCAGACTAATGTAGGAGCAAGGATTTACTTACACTTCATGGTGTCTTTCGGTCTTTTCAAGTGTCATTTTGTAATAACATTTTTGTTGTCTCCATTGCTTTAATCATATGATTTAGGCATGATATAAATATTCATTTCACTTACTTTCTCTCTTTAAATGACTGGACTGGTGGGAGCTGCTTGGTAAGCCCATAGTTTAAACCCCTGTTGCCAAACCTGTGCGTGACTGCCACCTAGCGTGCAACTACAGAAACTGCAACAACCAAACTTACCCCCATGGCAGATTCACTACTTTAATACAGCAAAATTCAATTCGAGCTAATAAACCAAACTGGCCAGAATAACAACAAGAATATAAAAACGTTGTGTATTTCTAAACGACCACGTTTAAGCCAGACAAAGTAGCCACTACCACTACATACACATTTCAAGAGAGGGCCATACGGCAGAATCCATTCAAAATGTTTACCTTGTGCACCGGCAAGAAAGGCCTAACTCATAAAACGTCTATTAAATCCATTTAACAATCTCAAAGACACCATGCTCACTACGGCAAATACTTAGTAAACGGCAAATATCTTTTAAGTTAACGAGTAAACTCCGGTTGTTTGCTCCATAATGTCCTTGTACTAGATCGTCAGTTGTCAGTCAATAAGAACGGGTTGGAGGATTTGGTACGTGCCGAAGTGAAGAAGGGGCCATGGTCATTTAGAAAAGTCGAAAGTTGCGTTTTAATGTTGTGCACTGTTGCAGATTCTCAAAGATAAACTTAAAGTGGCAGCTTTGTGAATGCGGTTCTGACGTGGTGTACAAAACAGAGCGGAACCAGGGTTAGCTACGTATTAAGACAGCGAACACTAACTTTACAGGGAGTTTAAATAGTTTGTACCAGAGTGACTCACTTTTAAGTAAAATAAATCCATTGGCGTGATTTTGGAGTCGAGATAATCTTCGTAGACTTTAAACTGTGTTACAGAATCGTGAACACGACCGACTGCGTTGTACTCCATCTTCACGCTCTGTTGTAAAACGCTGCTATGGCAACCGGCTGGCGGCACATAATAGGAAGCGGAAGTCAATACACTGACGTCCATATATGTCTTTGCTCATGTCCCCTGAACGCAGCATGAGTACCCATCACATTCACTTGCGGAGAAAACTACAATATTCAAATAGTTAGCCTACTAAAGGCCAACGAACTGTTTTACACATTATGAAGGTGAAACTGAAGAGAAGCAAATGGGTTACTGCAGTTTGGCTGGGCAATTAAAATAGCTAGTGCCCTGAATGTTGTTTTTCAGTAAAATCATAGGCCTACATATCATATATCACACATTTCAATTTCCACAGAAGTTATTTTTTTCCTCCAGGTATTTCCCCCATACATTGCAGCCGCAGCAGATTTGTACTACCCTGTGTGAGAGAGAGCGGACTCCTGAAGAACCCTGAACACCATAAACAGCAACAACTTTCTAATTTACATCGGACTGAGGTCCAGTGCAGCAGCTGAGATGTATAGGCTGTTACAGTAGAACTCTAGGCTAACTGTCTTCACGGGTCCTTTCTGCTTCTCGTCAAAATTATATCCAGGAGTCATATTCTGCTTCCACAGATCTCATCTGTCTAACACACCTTGCAGGGGGAAAAAAATGTTTTTTGAGGCGAGACTGAAAGTGTGAACTGTAAAGTGCAATAAAAAGTGGCATGTTCTGTTTCTTTGCTCAACAGTGGTTGCTTATTAATAGGCGGAGCATTGTGCTGTTGCTATGGTGGGATTCTATCCTTCCTGGGTAAACAGCATTTTGCAGAGTCTTCATCAGGTCTCTTTCTTTAAGTTTGCCAAAGGTTCATTTCAAACCCCTGAGGGTGAATGATGACTTCTACTCTAGGCCCAGAGACAAAGCCTTCAGGGTCTGTAATATAATATGTTGCTCCTATCTCTGTGAGTGTCTCCTCATGTTGGGAACAACTGCATGGCGGCTTAATCCAAGCATGTTTGTGCAGAGTCATTACAGTGGCTCTTCCTCTGTATGTCCTTTGTATGTACGTACTGTATGTATACCTGATCATCTTCACTGAACTCAATTTACATATCATGTTGGGCCTAAAGCTGGAATAATGTACGAGATGACAAAGTTATCCAGTCCCATGATGTCAGTCCCTATATCCTGGCAAATCTACACAATTTGGCACCTTTACTGACTGTAAAATAGAGAATAAAATGTTCAGTGGGAATGTTCTCGGCTCCATTTGCAGAAATACTGTGACTCTTGGCCGTCATTATCATCTTTTATTATCATTTTGTTTAAATTTTCTCATTCAGCATGACTTTTAATGGCTGTGCAATGACGTGCACGGAAAATGAGGTAATGATTAAAAATGTTCTTATGAATGTGCTCTCGTGCAACAGCCAAGCAACTTATGGCCAATGAGAGCATACGCAGACAGACAAATAAGACAAATGGAAGAGCTGGTGGGCAGAGGAGTAGAGATGTTAGTTGGTTAATGAGGGAATCTGCTCCTTCAAGATCAACCTTAAATGTCACTGTCACGCAAGCTTCATCTCATTTCTCAGGTCTCCGAGTGTTTTCTTACGTAGAAATAAAGACCCACTTCATTATTTAACACCAGTATGAATAATACACGCCAAACCTCTGTTGTTCTTATTCTGTGTTGAACAATCTTTTTCATTTACTCTTTTTCACTGAACTCACATCACCTGTTTTTCTAATACTTACACAGTTCAGTATGTTGCCCAGAGGGTTGACATTCAGCACAATTATCACTTTCATACAGTCCTACTGCTGCTGCTGCTGCGATGCTGTTTTTAGAGAGAATGATAAATGAATAGTTCCCACATTGAGGAGTAAACAGAAGAATGCATTCTTGTAAATGTATCTACTACAGACATTTAGCCTTGCTGTTCCTGCAAATACCAGCTAGAGCATGTGTAAATAATGCAATGTTTTAATTCCATTAAGCTGCTTCAGTTTCAGGATCCTGGTTTTGTGCATGCAGGTTCACTGTCTGTCATAGCTTACTGGGACACTTAGAATAGAATGGAGCCATTATTAATGTTATTAGTACCACCTGTGCGTTTCCTAATATGATGAGTCAAGAGTCAAAATGTCTGCTGTGAAAATAGCTTGTCCAGTCAACAATACAGTGACATTATTGTTTGTCAACGTCTGTGTAGCCAGGGATAGGAAAATGATTTTGCCACATATTTTGAACAAAGACTATGTATGTTTGAAAGAGGAAATAACACAAGGCAGTAGTTCTTTTATGCTACACACAAAACAAAAAATAAAACTCAAAATCAAACTTCTGTGACTATAGCATATTTGTAATAACAAATACAGTATACATAGAGCCTTGGGCATGACAGGAATATTATTGGCAACACCTTTTGATAGAGGCTACTGCTTCTGTTTTCTCACAGTTCATGAGTTTGGATTAGAATTCCAGCTAAATGCCTCAAATGTCATATAAATCTGCCTCTCATACTGTAGCCAAACATAATACCTCATCTAATTGTTGTTCCGGTGAGCGGAGCATTACATAACAGCATGAATACAGCACAGTCAGTGAGCAGGGGGAGACGAGGATAAAACATTCATTCAGCTGGTTTCTGTTTCACAATCAATACATACAATTTTACATTATGTGATGTGAAGTCAAAGAGGCTACTGGAAGACGTGACTGGGTGAACACAGGTTCCCCAAAAAAGGAGAAAATAATTGTAATGGAGTATGTGATTCTAAGATGCATAACCTCTCAGGAAGTAATTACCCTTCTCTGGATTCAGTACCCCTGTTGATTAAGCCAATCAGTAACTCTTTTTGTGGTTAGTTACTCCTAACATCTAATCCTAAAATGATCTAATTGGTCAAAATTAATTAGAAACATTCTTCTTCTTTTATCTTCTTCTTTATCGTTGTGGCAGCTTCATGTAGTTAGGGCTCTGGCTAGCCCCCCTTCCAGATCTGGCTCCAGGAGGGGGCCCGGTTTCCCTTTTACGGGCAAGGTACTGCAGCTCCTTCTTGGATGATTGGCCATGATAGTGCTAAAAACAGACATGCATCCTCAATCATCCAGGCCTGGATAAATTAAAATAAATAACCAATGTAAACTTATTCTCCAGTTGTACATATGAAGCAGTTATTTTGGTCCTATATTTTTGCTGAAATAAACAATTTTGATGCATTTTGTGTTGTTATAATGCACAAAATATGCAGTCGGATGTCACTTTTCACTGTTTCTACAGTCTGTCAGAATGTGCTTAACAAATATGTCTCCAGTATTATTTCATGAATACATTTCTTTGACAAAATTGTTAACAAATGTTGGTAATTATAGTCATAATTGATAATTAGATACATTTAGAAAAGTCATTTTGTACTCACTTCCATGAAACTGGACTTGTCCAAAGACAAATTAAAAAAATAAATATTAATCTCTGCAGGAAGCAGAGTATGACCTCTGACCTCCTCTTGGAAGAGAGCCGGAAAAAAAAAAAATCTCTTATTGTGACATAGTGACACAATATGTTTATGAGGCTAAATGTTGAATCATTAGATACAGTGGAGGAGGAACCCCACTGATGCTCACATCTAAAAGAAGGAAAATGTTGGTCAGTAATCAGTGCTCAGGCCTGTTTTAGACTAAAGTAAAAACTTTCATGACCTCAGAGGAATTGGAGAACATCAACCAACACGGTCTTGTCAGCACACACACACACACACACACACACACACACACACACACAAACACACCTGTCTTTGATTAGTTGGCCCCTGTGATCCTGAACCCTCTCTGTGACCAATTCCTCTTCTTTGGGATTTCAGTGCAATACAGCACAAATGTCTAGTTTTAACACCTTAACCTGCAATGCAATTAAGCATTCATTAAAAGAAGGTTGTGTCTTGAAACTCATCCAACAAATAAATACACCAGTGAACAGAATCTCTCTGAATGCTGTCATATACAACATAAATACAGAGTATCCACTGATATATTTGTTTTTTAATAGTAATTTTACATAAAAACTCTTCTTTATACATACAAGTTTTTATAAAAAAAAATGTTGGTACAAAAAATATTTCTTTGGATTGTGTATGAGGACCACACAACATGATGACAACACGGAAGATCATTAAAAACAAACAGCATCAAGATATCTACAGTTTATCAGGACCCCAGAGCATGTAGCTTTTCACTTTGCCTAGACAAACACTTGGTAACAGTATACTTTCCCACTGTATTAACCTGTGTATTAACCTTATGATAAAAGCATTTTACTCCTTTTAGATTTTCAGTCTTCCCCTAAATGATAGTGGTCTTCTGCTATAATCTTCACCAACAAGGTTTGGTTTAAACTGCTGAAAACATTGCTGGGTTAGCTCCACAACTCTTTCAAGATTTCAATAAAAAAATGCTGGAAAGTCAGATTGTTGTTTAAGGAACAGGACATTTTTAGTCTTGCAAGATTCATAATGAAGAATTTTTTCTTACCATTTTCCCATTTTCGCATGAACTGATGAAAGTATGACTGAAGGTCGTCATTTTGTGTATTTTTTGGAAGATGTGGTTCAAGGTACAGATTTAGAATTTTCCAACATCTTTTATTATACAACACATTTAGATTGTAATTCAGCCTTGATGGAGGTTTGTGCACTAAGTAGTTCTGCACAGGCTCAAAACTGAGACCTGAACCTGGGCCATACCTGCATCTCTAAGATCTGACAGTGACTGCACTGCCAAATCTGAGACCCAAAGCTGTATTTTTGCCTTATTTCATCCATCACTGACAGTTAGCTTGGCAGGCTAATGCAGGGCACACTCTTCCCTCATTCCCTCCTGCCAATGGGCATCACATATCTACTTGCAACACATGGCACACATGGGAGCAGATTATTAGCACAGTCAGACAGAGAAAGACAGAAACATAGTAATAAATTACATTTGAAAGTGACCTGACCTAAATCCAGGCCAAGCATGTGGCTTCACACGACAATATGGCCTGAACCTGACACGAAAACCCAATACTTCATCTGCACCGTCGGGTTCCAGGCAGGCAGCAGAACTCCAACTCTGAGTGCATAGCCAAACTTTATAACTCTCAATTCTTACGACAAATACAAAGTGTATAGATACATGTTTTTTACTTTTACACTTTTTGTTAGAGACTTATTTGAGATTTCCCAATTGTCAAATATATGTGACATTTTCCCTTTGATTAATACACAGGTTCTGACAGTGGAATATGATCAAAGCTGTTGGACAGATTGTCCATTTGAGTTTCTTTTTGAATGCTCCTGCAAAATGTACCCCAAGCTCAAGTAATTCAAACAATCAAATTAAAGACAGCATTTAATCTCTAGTTCAGGCTCTTGGGGGAAGGTAGGCCTTGTACTTTACAGCCAGAACCCTGCCTTTCTCCCCAGAGATGTCTGTATGTTCCTGCATGACCATTCCACGGCTGTTTGCCATCTGATACACCTAAAGTTTGAACCTTCACCAAAACAAGTGACCGCTCTTTCTCGGCATCTTTATCCCTGTGGTGACGGCCGTGCGCTCCTCCTGGGTGGAATGCCTTGAGGTCATGACTCTGGATTTTTTCAGGGAGACAGCCGGTTGCTAAAATGATAGTTTTGATGGACAGTTTTCTCCCTGATCCTTCACAGCTGTCCAGGAGGAAGGGGGAAGTCTCCAGAGAACCAGTCCTCGTTTTCATGTTGATTTTCACAAATCTGGTGTTAGGAAAGGGGGCAGTTGGTCGGTGTGTTTGTTTAGGCAGGAGACATGTTTGAAGCACTTTCAAAGCCAGGTTTAAGTCAATTTAAACCAGAGCCTTCATGCACAACATAATTCAACTAAACACAAAATCTATGTCATCCCATTCTACTTTGGTTCATAATTTCATCACTTTAGAGACTGTACAAAAAATATTGAGCTTTTTTTAAATGCAAAGCTTCCCTAGCTATATTAATACCTGTTTTGAATTCTCCCTTTGAGTTAGAAAAATTAGCAAAGCCTCCCCTCCCCCAATATCTCTACTCACATCTGCTGTAACATGAAGGTGGCAAGTACATAATGACTATGCTCAATCTGTAATAATCATAAAAATGCACTCTTATTCTGTTTCTCTACTAGTTTATTATGACGAGTAAAATAAAGCCCTGATATAAAGACATGATTGTTTGTCTTCGATAATATTATTTTCATCTCTTTATAAAAACAAATTCAGACAACCCTCTTTTAAGCAAAAAGAAAAACACATAACCCTTCTCCTTTTCTGATCCGCACTTACCCATAATTCTTGTACAGTCCCTTGCCAACTAACAAGTGATGGAGGACATTACATGGTCAGCTGAGGACATTTTCATTCAGCTAGCTAGATAAAACAATTTTTTTTCCATCTTTGATGTAGAATTCAAGAATATGCAGAAAGTTATGGTTATTTCAGCTTTAACAACATCTGATTTTAAAAGACATTATTTTCAAGCTGGGTCACTGCCCAGTTCACCATGTACAAAAATTATAACATAAAACAGGACAATCAACCCAAGTGGAAAGACAGCTCCCAACCATGATCATAACTTCAATATAGAAAAGCTCAATCGTTGTACCTGGCAGCCCTTTGAGGTTTTTCACACACTTCATAGATACCCGGAATGCTTTGAATGTCATAAATGACCATTGTCAGTTTGAGCACGTCCATTACCTATATGTCCAACGTCTTTGAACCTTGTATCCCCTAGATAGAGCCAAACCCTATGACATCTATCCAAACCGGTATTTGGGCCAGTACTTGACCTGCGTACGTCTTGGTGCTGTTCCTGCATGGACGTTAGCCTTCGCCAGAGGAGGTTTTGGCGGTAGTGGCGGCGGGGCTTTCCTCCTCTCTTTGCTCTTGTCTGTGATGGTGAAGCCTCGCTCACTCTTGTCATGCAGGCTGACCCTGGGCAAAAAGTGGGTGGAGACATGCTGGGATTTGACCCGCGGGCTGGAGCCCATTTTAGCCTTCCCTCTCTTATTGAGGGCCACAAACCACTCGCGACCAGTCCTGTGGTTCCTGTGGATTACTGAGGCGTAAGTGTTGTAGCTGTTCTCCTGGAAACGTTCCCTGAATTTACAGTCGTCTGTGAACCATTCCTACAAAAAAAGGGAAATATAAGGTATTAACAAGAAAACTATAGTTCATTGGTTTAGATCAGTCAATGAGACTATTAGTGATTAATTTTTAATTAACAAACCTTAAAATATGTTGAATTTGTAAGTTGTTCCACATGTTCCATGTCTGACTTCATGATACTGGATCTGTCCACATGTAAACAAGTCTCAGCTGTGGAACATGTGGGAACTCTGTTTGCATGCTACCATGTAACCTAACCCTGTGTTTCTCTTGTTAACTGCTGCTAAGATAATTGTCTTTAAGTCTGTGAAAGAAAAAGTAATGGCTGCTATTCCTTTACAAGAAAGCTCCCACCAACAAGCATCTGGAAGCTGACCTCCGCCTGATTCTCCCTGCTGATGCAATTTTATTTCCTTGTTAATACTGATCTGACACAGGGGCACACACATACTCATACACATACTGCTACTGTGAGAAACTTTGTGATCTTCTAGACTGTCCTTACGGTAAGAACAGGAGACACTTTGCCATTGGTATGCTATTTGTTTGTCTTTAAAAAACTATTATATTGTTATCAATTATATATACATACAAAATACAAGTGATTGGAGAGTCTGTGGGCCTAAATCTGCTGTGGGCTGTAGCGCATCTGCATAAGGGACACCTTTGTTTTAAAAGTAATTTGAATTATATTGAATTGAAAATTATGCACAATGGCCAAATTAGCCCTATTCGCAGGAGATTAGTATTACCTGGGGACCTCATGTGATTTAGTAATTACCCCACCACGTCTGTGTTTTGTGCGGAGCATTTGCACGGGATAAGCGAAGTCTGTGTTTTAACTCGAATTTACTGACATTATCCCCCGGATATGATGTCAAGGCTCTGCTTAACATCCGCTTCCTGGACGACAAGAGCAATGGCTGCAAAGAAAAAACCCGGCATTGGCCGCGCAAAGAGACGCTCAGTTTAATTGTTGTGTGGGGTGAACCACATTACGAAAAGCAATTTGATGGTGCACAACCACACAGTTTGGGAAAGTATTTACAAAGACCTCTTGCTCTGGTGCCTGTCTCTACAGGGGCTACCTGTACCTCTAACGCAGCCTCCATAATTCTCGACCAGGAAAAAGGCAGAAAAAAGGCACAGAAAACACAAAAAAACAAATCACAGAGTTGCCGATTTGCACGGGACTAATATTATCACATGACCTCTGTGTTTGGTGAAATATGGTAGGTAATTTGCGGTGGAATTTTTACTTTACAAATTACGGACATGTCAGATTTGTACAGGATTAAGATCACAGACGACCTCCAGAATTATTACAAATTACTAGAGGTCCCCAGGTAATACTAGTCCTGTGTGAATAGGGCTTAACATGATAGCTGATCAGGAAGAGATACAAAATAAGATGTAAAGCGAGACTGATGTTGGACCTATTACTGTATGTAATGACCAAAGCTTAAGTATTGTAAAATCATTTGTAATGATACAGGGCTGGATCAATTGTGTAATATCATAATAAACTGGAATTCAGAGTTGCATACTGCTGGTCAGTATGATATTGTCAGATTGTGATCTGATTGGGTTAGCTGCTGGAAAACTTTGCTTTCATCTTGGGGGTGGGTTTCAAAGTCACCCAAATAACATTCCTTATCACAGAGATGCTTTGACTGACTGCACCTTTATATTGGTCAAACACTCATTATGGCCTGTGTACCAACTGCATCCAAGAAGCACTTCTAGACACACGCAGGCTTTTGTTTTTCCGATCATGTTGTTTGTTACAATAGACGGACTGATGGACTGATCAGCAATATTAATGCATTTCACAGAGCTGACTTCATCTGCAAAGTGGAGAAAATGTATTGAATAAACGGTGACATATTAAATAGATCAATATCACCTAGCAATGCTATAAGAAAAAAGAGTTAGCATATTACGTTGTATCAGTTCTGGAGATACAACATAGTTTCTGAAGTGGGTTAAACAATTTCGACACAGTTTTCACCTGACCCACTGCTCCTTCCTCCTGACCCACTGTGTTTCAATAATTTCCTGAGAGATCTTAAAGAACTCAAACAGAGGATGATATGAGGCTATTTCAGCTCTAGCATCTCATTTGCGTGGGCAATGGCGTCTATTCTAGCTTCATGCTGCTACACCACAATTCAAAAACGGGATGTAGAATGTTCATTCATTGAATGTTCCCGTTTTGTGCCTTAAAATATCTCGGGTGGGAAACTCTGACATGTACCCAGGGATGCCTGCTTTCTTGCTGCAGTATGACTTCCTTGTATAACCTCCTGCCATTCTGAAATAAAACAAACTGTTCTGCTTTGCTGAAGAGTGAAGCATAGCAGAAAATGATGCCATTAGAGCATTTGGTAAACATGCCAGTCACAAGAGAGTGCGCTGCAGCCGCGGCAGAATAGTACAAACCTTTAAGTTATTCAAAGTGACCGACTGTTCCTTTTGGCTGTTGTTTTTAAAAATGATTAGAAAAGTGTACAGACCTCCCGAGTCACTGCTATGGGTGGATTGCAATGATTTAACAGAACGCTACATTTGAGCAACATACCAGCTCTGGTAGCAGTCAGGGAATTACACATTTGGAAACAAATTCATTGAAGCATGTATGAATGTACTCGCACACAGGCACGTATGCACACATGAACACACACATACACACAAGCACGCATACCAGGAAGGAGCTTTGGCCCCTGCTGGGTTTCATAGGATTTAATGGCTGCAGCCAGATTCCAGAGATCTTATTGTTAAAATCATAATGCTTGTACAGCTGTTTAACCTGGCTCTTGCCCTGCTGGATTGGTCACACTCTTTTAAAGGGACCTTTCCCATGATCCTCAGGGGTTAGCTGTATCGAGGGCAGAGGTGGAAAGTTACTGATGACTAACTTTTTTTTCCTGTACCCAAATAATATTTCTTCACAAATGTGTCCTTTTTATTCTTTTAAGAAATGTTAGTTGCTAAAATTGGAGACTACAAACTGAGCTAGGACAACACTCTGCACAAACTTTAATGACTAGGTTTGTAACTGGTTGAAAAACACTGTGTCTAAAATAAAACTTTTTAGCTTTTTGACCTGATGGTGGCGCTAGATGACAAGTCAGGCGATCACCAAAGTTACTTAATCCACTGAAGGACATCAATGTCAGTACCAAATTTCAATGCAATCCATCCAATAGCCGTGGAGACATTTCACTCAAAAACAAAAATGTAATCCTGCTGGGGGCGATAGATGAAAAGTCAGAACAGAGTCAGTAGGACCCATCCTCTGGAGACCTTGAATGTCTGAAACAAATTTCATGGCAGGGCCAAAAGTATTTGTTGAGATATGCCACTGAAAACCAAAAATGATAATAGTAAACAGGTTATACACTAAAGCCTGCTAGGACCACATTATAACTCTACTCTTACGTACACTAACTTAAGGAACTGGGCTTGTAATTAACTGATTGGGAAGGGATACACTTGATGATCTGCCATAAAAAAAGTGTCTTCAGTATAAATGCATCATATATGCAAAATGTAGCTGAGACATATCTCAGACAAATGGCAGAAATTAAAAACATTCTGTTGGTTTAATCAATCAAATCCTTAATGTTATACCAGCATTTTCTGTAGCTATATAATTTCATTGCTCTCTCTCTCTCTCTCTCTCTCTCTCTCTCTCTCTCTCTCTCTCTCTCCCTCTCCATCTCTCTCCCCCTGGCTTGGTCACTGTTTGTTCAACAAATGCAGGTAAACCTTTGACCTTTCAAAAGATTATGTTTGTGATGGCTTGCTGAGGAGGTCAGGCAGAGCAATGTGCATCTGTCTCCTCGTCTATTATTCAGCCAATAAATTGGCACTGTGAAAACATCTAAATATTAAATATGACAGACGATGCAACAAGATAAGGTTCAGGGTGTCACCTGACACCCCAACGTGAGGCCCAAGCCTGTCTGTGGCCCCCGAGGTTTACATCCACCTCAGATCATCAAGGCGGTTAAATAGCATGGTGCAGCTGTAGCCACAGATTGGAGTTTTAGTTATACAAATATTTCTCTGAGGCAGAGCTGCTCCAGAGGCAAAAATAAGCCCCAACTGCAACGATTGGAGCCAGAACCAGAGTGCAAAGTATCAACAGTAAGTGGTAAGGCAGTACTGCAAAAAGAAACTCTGATTAAAATATCAAACTTAAACTTACTGCATATAAAACTGCAGTTTGTGTAATAAATATAACAAAGTTGAAGGGTCTGCTATCAGCTTCTAGATGCAGCAAAATCTTATATGGCACAAAAAACATTAAAAATTAAAGACCTTAACTCAAGGTCCACTTAAGGTAAAACTATGCAGAGCTATGCAGAGCTTTTAACCAGTCCTCGTCAGTGAATAAAGTTAGTTCTCATGAAGCAAACTCCAGAAGAATACACTAAAAAACCAAGAAAGGCTGTATGATGCAGTTAAAAGTTAAAAACATAGTAGTGTATAGTAAGCCGAGGACCTTTTTGTAGTAGTTTTTGTTAGTTTGAACTACTGAATTCTTTTTTATGCTCAACACACTGACTGTTTTGTTATGCTTATGATGAAAAAATGTGCCCTGACGCTGATGCTGGTAGAAAAGTGTGTCTAAAATGAAAGGGGCTCATCCTGTGGGGACCATGAATGTGCTCAGTAACTTTCAGCCCATTAGAGTTTGATTTCTTGTGGACATTTTGATCTGATGTTGATGCTGGAGCGAAGAAAAGTGGGGTGACCAAAAATTCTTATCAGTATATCAGCCCATTCATTTCAGGTTACCCAGGAGACATTTCTCATAGTAGCTTTAATTAGCAAATACAATGACTTCTATGTAACTGACAGTTTTTTGTCATGAGAAAGAGTGCTTATTGTTTTTACGTTTCCTATTTTTGGGATGTGTCTAATGTTACATCTATTCATTTAGGCCCCGCCCGCTGACATTTAACACAGCCAATGAGATTATTCCTGCCTCTGACACTGAGATTCACAACAATCCCAAACGAAAGGCAATTCATCACAGAAAACAAGGTAGACTGTCCTTCAGCTGTGAGGAAGAATCCCCCATGCTAGCGTGCCCTTGAGCAAGGCAGCTCCAGATGATCTGTAACTAAAGCTGCTCTGTGCTCATTAGGATAAATAATGACTAAATGGAAGTATTTCCTATTGTCCTTCGCTGCAAGGTTAATCTTTCTATTAATGATGCTGCTTCTTGGATTCCTCCCTTGCTGCAATGCTGGAACCTGCGAACAGCTCTGCTCTAAGGGCATCAACTTCAGCCTGATTGAATTTACTGAGGGAGTCGTGCAGACACAACAAAAGCAGCCACAAACATCAGACGGTCAACCTTTGAGTTGGTGCAGGAGGAGTGGATGCGGAAAGTTGGACTTTCATTTGTGACATTTCGACAGTTTGGAACGGGAGATGAAGCAGCAGATGAGAGCGGATTGCAGACATGTTGGACCACAAGAAAGAAAATCCCACTGAGTCAGACTGTAGCTGTGCATGACAAATGTCCAACAGAACAAAAATGATGATTGGGTTTTAGTTTGAGGCAATACCCCGCAGTGTGCTGTTTTGCTTTGTTGTATTGTTTTCTGTTATTATCTATGTCTTCCCAGTTTCGGTTTATATTTAAATCTTGTTTGGCATGTGCTTTGACCCTGAGAAAGTTTGTAACTTTCCTGCTCACATATATAAGCTGCAATGGCGACTGAATATGTATGTGCTAGAGGAAAAGCTCACAGTCGCATTGGTAGATTTCAAGCAAACTGTGGCTTGAAGAAAGACGCCTCACCCCTCCCCCGCTGGGGTTTCATGAAACAATACCGGGATCTGGGGGGGGGGGGGGGTAAATCGCTGTTGCTCAGCATTCACAACCACAGCAGCTCAGCTCAGACTCTCCGATTGTTGCCTGCCTGGCTGATTGTTTACTCAACATATTGATCTTCACTTTGTGGCTCAGTCCTCTGTATATTATCAGCCATCCCAGACAGGACTTAATCTGCTCTTCCCATTAACACATGCTAATAGGGAGCCGCTTCTATCTATATGCCTGCCAAGGCTCCCACAGATGACTCGTCAGTGCGGCTGGCTGCTGGCTGGCTGGCCGGCCAGCCTGCTTACGGCAGCGAGGCCAAGCTGCTGTGGGCAGATTTTGGCTTACTGTGTGTTTGGGGGGATTTGAAAGTCTTCAAAACTGTGGCTAAAGATTACAGCAGTATGCCATGACATGCTGATGTCAGATTTGGGGGTCTTGTTATGCGGCACAGATGCAAAGCTGGACAGACTAATAAATAAAAGCAATATAGCTGCACTAGGCAAGGTTTTGTAAACTTTCATGAGTCCAGAAGAAGATGGAGTCCAGCAGAGAGGGGCATCGTATCAGTGGCAAATGAGATGCAGATTCACAGTATTTGGCCAAATAATTCAAATAATTCCAGTGCCAAGTATGGACAGTGGAAGGAAGTTGCTCAGAACACAAGAAAGGGTTCAAAATCAGAGGTAAACAATATGAAACTTTGGGCAAGGAAAGTCATTCTTGATCTTGGGAACAGAATGTATAACTAATTGAAATGCAGTTGAGAGATCCAAAAAGATCCCAGAAGATCTGAAAAGATCCGAAAAGATCCGAAAAGCTCCTAAAGCGTCAGTGGGCTTCAAATAAAGTGCTCGTCGGATTGTCCCCTCCTCTCACACCTTTCTGATGTCAGAATGGGGGGCTGTAAACTTTTTTGCCTCTTTTTCATTGTTTAGGTGTTCCAGCATATTTACCACTTGGTTCATTATCAGTGCTCTCACTCTCAACTCCAGCAGCTGTTTTCAGCAGTCTCTGTACACTACCTGCTCAACACCAAACAGTGCACAGAGTTAGCATCTAGGCGGCAGTGGTGGAGGAAGTACTCAAATATGTACTTAAAGGTCCAGTGTGTAGCATTTAGGGTCATCTAGTGGTGAGGTTGCAGATTGCAACCAACTGAATTACCACTCGCCTTCCAAGTGTGTAGGAGAAACTACTGTGGCTGTTAAACTCGCAAAGGCAAAAAATGCAAATTGTCCTATCTAGAACCAGTGTTTGGTTTGTCCATTCTGGGCTACTGTAGAAACATGGCAGTTCAACATGGCAGACTCCATGGAAGATGACCTATTCCCTCTGTAGATAAAAAAAAAGGCTCATTCTAAGATAACAAAAGCACAACAAATCCTATTTTCAGGTGATATTATACACTAATGAAAACATCTATGAATATAATATTCAAATTCTGCCAATATTCTGCCAAAATGTTACACACTGGACATTTAAGTAATACCACATTGTAGAAATAATGTCAGATAAATGTAGTGGAGTTAAAAGTATAATATTTTCCTTTGAATTAAAGTGTAGTAGAAGTATAAAGTAGCACAATGATATGGAAATTCTCTGCTACTGCTACACAATATCGACGACTGCTAACTTTTTAGCATTACCAACTCTATAAGGTGAAGTGTGGCAGGATATGTGACCGATAGAAGGTTTTGCAGCTCTTCTTCCCCTAAATGGCCCAACAATCAATCAGTGCAGCTTTAAATTATCATTAACTTAACTGTACACACACTTGTTATTTACAAAGCGTCACTTTAAAATAACATGTAGTATCCCTGCACATCAGCAGTGTGTATTTGCTGCGGGTGAATTTAAGAGTGCAGGGTGATAAACAGAAGCAGTTTGTGAAGCGTGTGGGATACTTACAGTGGCGTGGAGCCGCCCTCTTTTATTCATGGCCAAGAATCTGTTACTGTAGACCCCTTTGATGCCGATGACCCCCTGAGAAACCGCAAAGAGCTCCAAGACACCTGGGTGGACAAATAACATACTCTGATGATTGATGGATGACAGAGTGTGTACTTACTCTTCGTCATCTTATGTGTCTCTTCTGCTGGGTAACAGAGTTGGGTGTGAGCTGCCCTGCTCAATTATCCAGTTCAGCTGCACCTTTGGCCTTGTCTTGATCTTACAGTATGTTCGTTTAGATCATTCGGGTGAGTATAAATTATCGGGGCAATAAGCAGTTTATATCTTTATCACAACCTTAACCCAGTTGCTTAACCTGAATAATCCTTAATCATACTTTTTAGTTGCCTGAGGCAGATATTGTGAGAGCAAAAACAGAAAATCACTGAACCTTTTGCAGATTCAGTCCATATAAACATCTGTCTTTTGCCTATATGGTTGAAAATATAATCTGGCCATCAGTACTTGTCTTCCAAAACTAGAACTTTTTTTCTAAAATGGATATGAACATAATTCTTGTTCTGCACTGGCACCATGACTCTAGGGTGAGTTAGGGTGCCAGGAAATGCAATAGTGGTTTGTGCCAATGTGGGTTCTATTGAAACAACATTTGAGCCATTGTGAGACACTAAAACTGTCCACTGAAACGCAGACTAATGAAAATCGTTGGTTCTTTGATGCAGGACAACACTGAACTAGTTCAAAGGAAAAACTTGTTTTAGCCAAATGACAGAGATCTCTATCACTGAATAAAATGCCGATATTGACACAATACTGTCAATCCAATGCATCCATTTGACTCCTGTACAGCACCAAAGTCAGTCAAGTATCCCAGAAAGAATGAAAAGTCCAAATAAAAGGAAACTGACAAAGAGTTATCGCAGATTAATACCGTCTGTGCACTATCTGGGGTATTCTGTGAAGGAGTGATAGGCTATATGAAATGTAATGCTGTGTGATGGTAAAATAATCATCATATTACAAATCTAAGACACCCAGTCTCCTGCTCGTCTCCAGTGCTGTCATGCAGGATTCAAAACCACATGGCTGTCGTGTTGAAATCCATGTAACCTGACAACTCTTCTAAAGGGGACCATGAAATGGAGGCACAAGTGCACTTTCACGGTGAGCCTCGGCTGTTTCGTCAGCGGATGAGCGATGAGGGATCCGATGGGGCAGTAAAAACTGAAAATCTGATTTATGTCTGTAGTCTTCTGGCCTAAACGACACAGGATGAGATTCCCATATAGGGCGGCATTTAGAAGCTGTTGTATTTAACGTTGCATTTTAAGTTAGGTTTTAGTTTTCTTAAATGTTCGTGCTAACATTACTTACTTGGATCACAACTTGTTTGGATAGTCTGGATAGTTTAAGAAAGCATTTGTAACATTTCAACAGCTCATTAGTTGAGATTCAACAAATGCTTTCTGACATTACACCACTGTGGTTAAGGTTTGGTTAGGGTATGAATGGTCACATATACTCTATAGATAATCTGTTAAACATCTACAGACAAAGCAAATAGTTGAAATGTTGCAAACACTCTATAAACTATCTGTAGGCGGACTACCCAAATAAGGTGTTACCCTGACATGCCTTGTTCTGGATGCAGCTGAGAGCTGTTGTGTGCTGAATAATGTTTACTGTTCAAATTTATCTGAATTTGTGAAGCGGTTTTTGTGTCAATGTCATATTTTTTATTTGAGTTAGGATGTCATGATTTCCGTTTGATCATCTTGTGAAATCTTGTTAGTCATCTGTCTTATTGTAAGACCCTTGTGTAAGAAATATATCAAAACTGGTGTATTTGGATTTTGTACAAGAGAAAATTAACTTGCTTGACAAGCTACACATATAAATATATAAAAATCTCATCACAGATGCATATATTCCTATTTAAAAATGTTCATTGATGTCGTGTGTAGTTTATGTACAAAAATGAATAACAGCCGACCGTTTTTTTTAAACTTCAGATATCAGCCTCAAAAGTCCAGTATCCATAGGGCCATGCTTCTTAAATGATCTGACCTTGGAGGAAAACATCCGGTCAGTCTGGACACTGTAACCTTGTTTATCTCGGCCATCTGCACTGAAATGTAACTCAGTGTAGTTTTTCATTTCCCTCAAATTAAATTCCCTCAAAACTGAAAAGGCATTTCCACAGAGCACAATAATGTACTTGAATATCAACCAGTTATTTATTTGTGACATATTTCATTTTTTTAAAAAGTGAAATAATTGAATTTGCATGCAAACGACATTTAAAGTAGTTTAGAAGGTGAATCGTTTGAAGATTCAATAATAGACCATAGTCTAATTTTTAAGGTGGGTATTTTTGAAGTGTATGGAGTAGCTTTTATGTGATGACAATCGTGCTGATTGGCAATCCAACACATCCTGGTGTCTCACTGCTGCACCTGTTACTTCCACAAATAGTCTACCTGCCAACATCCCGGAGAGACACAAACAAGGCTCGTCAACCAGATGGCCGCTGCTCAGATATTTCACAGGGTCAGGCAGCCTAAGTTTAGGTGCGCGGTCCTTGCACTCTTCCTGTGTACATCATTATTGTTATGACTTCCCTGGATGGCATTTAAAATAGACACAACTGCAAACAGAAGCGAATCAATTAGAGCAAATGCAGGAATGCAGATCCATGTGCGCATTCTCAGCGGGACGCACTGGATTCATCTGCGCGTCAGACGTTTATTATTTAATAGTTAGACTGCTCCAGGCACCGTGGCACCGGAGTGAATGACTTACTCAGCTGGTTGGGCTCATGGCTGCCGTTCACTCTGCCGTCGGGATGAATCTGGAGGTGGAAGCCGATGCCAACCCTACAGTAGAGCCTGCAAGTCCTGCGTCCCGAACTGATCTCCTCCTCCAGAAGTTGGCGCTCCAAAGAGACGTACTGTGCTCCGGCGGCGGCGCAGATCAAGTGAGCGACGGTCAGAAGGTAAAGAGGAACATTCATTCTTCCAAAAAGGAGACACTCGCTAGGCCACTTCTAGCATTTTGGTGTCACTCCTGAGGTCTGGGCGCCAGAAACCGTGCGCACATACCCGTGCAGCGCTCCTGGGCATTACCCCGGCTGCAGTAGCTGGAGTTGTTCTGCTGACACGGGGATATTTATAACGCCAATGATCTCACTACTCGATGCATGCCTGAGCTCTAAAGGACGCTCTTTCATCCAGATTTTGTCGCCGAGATGCCACTCCTGCTCAGCACCGACCCACAGCAGCGGGGCGTGAGGGAAACGCGGCTGACACCGCACATTTTCCAAGGAATCGTCCGCGCCAGGACGCACTAAGCGCGGCATTTTACGCACAGGGGGACATCGTTTTAATAGATCGAGGACGCGGTTGATTCATACACGAAAAGACTTAAAAAGATGACTCTTCTGGTGGCGTTTCTTTCCATATAAGAGGACTTAAACCGAAATGATGAACGTTAAACGCAAGAGGGAAGACGTGGGGGATCAGACAGCAGAGATCATCAGGTGGTGCAGCAGAGTTTTAACACTGGCTCACCGGGAGACTCAGGCAGCCGTATTTATAGGCTTTAGTCCACCTTATCATCTGATACGTCCACATGCTTACAGGAGACGCGTCTGTCAAGCTGCCTAATGTATTCTGAGCAGTGTACAGTGACAGGGTAGACACTAATGATCACATTGTGGATTCTTGGAAAAACTGACAATAGAAAAATACACAATGCATTCACTGAAAGACACAATTTTCTTTTTTTTTGCTACCTGATGACTTACGTCATCCTAAACCATGTAAATATTAACTACTCAGGATTGCAGTTTTTGCTGTGGGTGTCCCAGTAACAGCCATGTGACCTGTGACAGTGTCCTTGAGCAAAACACTGAAGCCCCAGATAAGAATTTCACCTATACCAGTAACACAAAGATATCCATTCATGTCTATCAACAGTTTAACACTCAACATTATCGTGCTATGTATGAAGTATCAACTCTGGCTCAGTTATGATGCCGAACAAACACACATTTACACACACAATTACAGAAAGTGTCTAAAAAAATTAAAAAGTGTAGAAGTTCTCCCACAACAGCTGAGTGGAGGGAGAAAGAAGATATTTTGCTCATAAAATAGGCTATAAAAAATTATTATGGATCAAGGTTCCAAGTCTAAGAAAAAGTAAAGACAACATGTGTGGAGATTATTCATCCAGCAGCAAGGTGAAGGTCACAAGTCTGGTTCTTTCATACATGCCTTCGAGAGCAAGACACAGACACCCAAACTGCTCATTCACTGCCTGTTGCTCTGAACTGGGCAAAAATCATATATCATCCAGTCAGCTTCTGTCACATTGGTTTTCATTCTGTAAATATCACCATAACCTGCAGAAAAACTTAAATGGAGCCCTGCAGGTCAAAACTCTTTGAAAGCCCTAATTTCAACATTTCATGGAAGGAAAAGGCTTGTTTGAAATGAATGACATTTGCCACAGAAGGAAGAGGTGTAAAAAATAAAATGAATAACAGCTGAATTCACTTGAGCTACTTGAGTTTCAGGGTGCTGGTATTGTGCATGCTGGCTCACTGTCACTTGAACAGAATGGAGCCATTGTTCATGTTATTATTAACAACTTTTCCCAACTAGTCAAAATGTCTGCTGACAAAATGAAAGCATCTAACGGAATTTGAAAATAGAAGTAAAGGTGAGTTATAGACAATACTTTCTTGATGTTACTTCTGTTCATATCTTACTTTTTCCAGTGTCTAGATGCCCTCTCATGGTTTAAAAGATTCATGTACTAATATAATGCCCACATGACCATATGTGCACTGAAAGAGCCATTGATCGCTGGCATTGTTCCTCTTGTCCTAGTGAAACAATGTAAGAGATAGGGAACAAAATCCAAGGCCCCTCTCCTGATTAAAGTTCAACCAGTGAGGCTTCAGCAGTCAAGGTTGGACAAATCAAATGGGTATCTTCCAAAGTCATTCTTTTTTTAACTTTCAAGCTATGTTCTTTTATTTCACTATTCATGTGTACATCTGAGTGCAACACCATGAATTTCTTCAATCAGAGACTGTCCGAAAGTGTGTCCTCTCATCCCTATTTGCATGATTCACCTTGTCACCCCTCTTTGTGACAGTTTATGTTCACCCCACTGTTGAACGTGGTCCGACAACATGTTGAACAAACACATTTTGTTTTGCACTATAAATACACATTTGATGTGTCTAACTCATACCTCTGAAACCTCAAAATAACTCGGGCTAAGCTTTTTAATACATACAATCTGTGGATTTTGTCCCCCATAACTTACAGTAGAGTGGTACTAGAAAGGGATCTTTTCACGGTAGTATGGGCAGAAAGAATGTTAGTATTATTTCAGATAGCAATAGAAATATGAACTTTCCCTTTAAAATACATCTTGGTTATTTCTATGTGAGACAAAATGATTTGATTTCTCAGGTTGGTAATAGCTATCCTTTTTTTCTACTGTGAACAGACATTTCCCTGCAGAAATGATTGCTGAATGTCCACCAAGGACCTCAGTCTTTGAGGTTTTATGGAGTACGTACAATCAAGCCTTACAGGGACTACGGCTTTTGTTGAAAGGAGCTGCTTTAGTAAGACCAACTGATACTGTTTAAAAACAGAAAACACATGCATTATTTGTATGACAAATAAATTATATTTCCCAGTACAGCTGCTTAAGTTATCAAGACCTAAAAATAAAAACCACACAAAATAAAATAACTAACACCTACTCATTCCTTATCTGCAGTAGTTCAATTCACAGTTATACTTCTTAACCAACCAAAAAGTTAAAATACGAGGCATTTACAAAACATCCATCTGATGCTGTATTCTTTGAATCTTTGTCACTGTAGCACATGTTCAGTGTTAAGCTTATTAATTTTCTATCTTCTCATGCATTCATTGTAATCCCGTCCCTCATTGTTTTCGGGGCCCCGGCTATGTTTGAATTTGATTACCTCGCGCCCGGCGGCGGATTACGGCCTGTATAGGGGCCTAATTGTCTCTGGCGCACTGAGCCGAGGCCGGGCCCACATTACCTTTTATGTAAACAGCGGGGCAGTGTTTAGTCCCACTGTTCTAATGGCCAGTCATTCCTGTGAGGCCATTCCAGTAACAGTGAGGTAATCCTCCTGAGTCGTATAAACACGGATGATCCTGATTGATTCTCCCGCCCGATTGATCCCAGCTTTTAGCAGCTTTTTAGTCTAAGCAAAGAGCAGACAGCAGGTTCTGCTGCGGCCCTGAACCGTCTGAGCCCAGAGACATTGATCAATCTAAGGGTCGAGTGCATTGCTTAGGAGCATCTGACCGGCCAAGGTCTCAGTCATCAGCATAATGACAATACTCCTCTGATGTCCAGTGATGCTTAAATAGTCTGCATAGTCATCATTGTAGAGTTCTTTGTACTGTATGATCAATACTAGGACACTACCACAGTAGTAAAAAAAAAAAGAACTGCAATGCATTCAGTGCACTCATTTCAGGTTTGGCAATATGCTCTTGATCACATAGAAATCATATTTGGGGTGGCTGTGGCTCACGAGGCAGCGTGGGTCGTCCACCAATCAGAAAGTTAGTGGTTCCATCCCTGGCTCCTTCCACTGTATTCTGAAGTGTCCTTGAGCAAGATACTAAACCCCTCCTGCTCCTGATGCTGTACAGTCCATTTACCATGTATCATTTGCAGTATAAAAGCAACTCTAACTCTTCAGACTGCAATTGTGGAACAAAAGTTATAGATTTATGTGATAATGGGTGAAATGGTGAAAGGATGGTCAGAAATGCCAACAGTGGTCAGAACTTTTTCACTGAACTAGAAATGTCAGTTTAAAGAAGAGATAATGCTGTAGGCCTTTTCCACCAACAGGTAACTGGCTTGTGCACCTAGTTTTGAACTGTTTTATTTTAGCCAAAAATAAATTGGTCCCGATCGTGAAGTTTGCTCCAAACTGGAACCAAAAAATAGCAGGTTTTCCATTGTGCAACGCCCTCTGCTGACGACCCATCCAATTACAATGGCTCTGCTCGAAACTCATTAGCCTAGGCTGGTTGTCTTGATAGCACCAAGGTTCCAAGAATCTTGAACAGAACTGGTTCAAGAACCAGAAATAATTTGGTGGAAAAAGACAAGTTAAGAAGTTCAGATAAACAGGGTGGACTGACAATTACAATGGCTGGTATTTGATACTCATATTCCTCTTTTCTTCTTTCTTTTTACAGGTACTTGTCCTGCTTATCCAAAGTTGTGTTTCAGAGGATTCTCTAAACCAAAAACACTAAAACAACTGAGTTAAAAGTATTTTTGACATAAAAATGGTCAGATAGAAGAAATCAGAATATAAGATCAAAATATTATGTGTCAACAGCTTTACGTATTGCCGTCAAAAAGCTGATTATTGCTCCTCCTTGCTGCAAGGCTGCGGCAGGGTTGGGTCATAAATGTAAAGCTCATCCGTGACAGTGTGCAGGTTTTCCAGTTCCATACTTGCACTGATGTGGACTAATGAATTAGTTTCAGCATTTGCTTGTCCTGCATGTACGGGTAAGAATAAATGAACTGTGCCTCAGATTGTTGTATATTATTTTGCTCTCTGAGAGCTTTCGTGGGAGTCAAATTACTCGGGTTTTTGTGTACATTTTCTTTGGCCACCCAATATTTTAAGATGGTTCGTCAGGCTTATCTGAGAAGGCTTGGCTGAGTCTTCTGCTATGGCTAAAGAGGTCAGCCAAGTTCCCTTCATATTCATCAACCCTCTTCATATATGATTTACAGTGTTTATACTAATGCTTTGTACAAGAATGAAGACATGCCCTGCAGTGTGAAGAGGCCATTTTCATCTACACACACAAACAAATTACTGCCAACTGATTGTACTGACTTTCAGGAGCGTTACGTCAAAAGTGACACTGAATCCACAAACACATCATGGGACATCCCCGGCAGCACTTCCCACCATCAGCAGCCCCTCTGGAGCCTCGCCGACGTGTCGTCTGCAGCGTCCAACTTTTGCCGCCGGCTGTGTTGTTCCCACTCCGCTGACGACCTCTTTGAGCTACAACAGATCCCAGTTTCCCTGAACCTTCTTTCTTTCAAAGTTCAAGGCCGGCTCTGAAAGACAGCCCTGAGAAATGAGAGGACAAAGTCTGAGAGAAAGGAGAGGCGCAGGAGGAAATGAGAAATGCATTTGAACTGCAAAGCCTGGGCTCAGCGCCGGGCGTTTTAACTAAACTTCAGACTAAGGTGATCAACAAAGCGCTCTCACAGTAATTAGCAGGACAGGGACGCTGCTGCTTGTTTGTTGTTGGGTTTTTTCAGCTCGCTGTCTCTTGGTGGAGCCACAAAGCAACACCTGTTTACTTGTTACAGACACACCACCTGTCAGCATGGAGAGGAATTAAGGGTGTGTGTGCGTGTGTGTGTGTGTGTGTGTGTGTGTGTGTGTGTGTTGGGGGGTCTTATCCACTGTTAATAAGCATTGCTGTGTATGGACAACCCTGAAAGAAAATGTACCTGGACCTCTGTGACTGAGAATCATTATTGTTTCTTTTACACCATGAGTTCATTTGAAGATAAAACAAAAAGTCAATGAGACCAGGGTGCGTGACAGGAATTTGTTCTGGTGACAACTGTTGCTTTTATCTTCAAAATTTCTAGAATTAAGAAAAACAAACATAATTTGAGTCCCATAATGTTACACATTGAGATAATCTAATGGGTTTTAAAAAGACAAAGATACATTTTAAGAGGTACAATAATACGGTGTCCGACAAGGGCAAACGCGCCGCAAACGGCAAAGCGCTGCAAACAGGAATGATGTAAAACCAAAAACACACAAACACATAAACACAAATGCAACAGAAAAACATAGCAACAGAAAAATGCTGCAATCACAGACATGAAGCAGAAGCAAAAACTTACAAACCATCAAAACAACTGCCAAAGAAAAATGCTGCAAATACCAAAAACACACAAAACAACAAAACAACTCCAAGAGAGAAACGCTGCAAATTCACTTGACAAAACGGAAGTGCGCCAGGCCACTAGGGTTAAACACACAAAAGTAGCTGTGTGAAGAGTGAAAAAAGAGCGCTCAACAGAGTTCATCACCGTGCGCCTATGTGA